TTGCTTTTTTTAGGTTTTTGATCGTGTAATACCACACCTGCTTGTTGCTAAGTTTCTTTCACCTAGTCTATCAAAATAGATCAATAAGCCTGATTCTCTATTCCTTGAAAAAGAGAGCCTGAAAAGATTACTGCAAGTTCTTATGCTTTCATCACCCAACAAGATTTGGATGCGACAGACTGAGTGGCCAAACACTCTCCAGGATCTCCCAACAAGTAGTCAATCTCCATCAATTTATGCCTGCAAGGAGATATTTTAGGGAAAGAGGAGTGGGTAAACGCAATAGCTTGAAACTGATTGCAAGGGGAGTGTTTCTGATAAAGCAACTTTCAAACTTTCCACTCAAAGAAGCCGCTTTTGGCAAATTCAAAGCAGCTTTGAACTCTTCTTTTATACGTAGACATAGAAGAAGAAAAAGAGGATGTTGACGCTGACTTCTTGGGCCTGGGTAGATTCTTTAAAAAGAAATTCCCTTAGGTTCATGCAATCATGGTGTCTTTAATTGGCCTTGTGCAATTGGAGGTTCATGGCCTGCTGTCATTTCTCTTTTTCAACCCGTTAAATTTTTGGTTTACACTTGCGCTTAAAAGGTCCAGTGGACTCTAGACTTTGACCAACATCTGACTCTAGAATATTCAACTTCCATCTTCCTCTGGAGAGACAGTTTTGCAGGTTGTTACATGCCTGGCCAAGGATTTTGTAGTCACGAATTTCATCACTTCTAAGACAAGCTTTTCCTGCAAGTTGTACAGTCTATGACTACTTCAGATTCCTCCATAATGCAATCCATAGTGTTCTCACTCTCAAAACCAGATCGGCAAGCTTGTAGTCCGATCACATTGGCTCTCCCGCAACCTCCTTTCTTCCTTCATTGAAACTCAGATCACAAACTGCTCATTCCATCAAGAAGAGTCTCCACCAACTGTCCGCTTCTATCCCTTTAGGCAGCAACATCCTTCTTCTCGCTCATATATTATGTTCTCTCAACTCAAGAAACCTCCGTCTCGAGTTCTTGCCGAGAGATACTATTAAGGTGTAGTCAATTCCTTCAAAATGCTTGCTCATTGTGTTATGGCTTCTTGTCTAAAGAACTCATAGAAAGCTCTAAACAGTTACCTTCTTCCAGATCAAAGAAGGATATGCTGAACCTGTTGCAAAAACTATTTTATTAATGCAGCGGATATCTAAATCTCTCCTTCTAGAACAATATTAATGGACCTGCGTTCTATCACCAAAAACTTATTGGACAGGCAATGGGCATGGTTGTGCAGGCTAGATTGGTCTGGCCAAGGTCAATGGTCAAGAGGGGTGTGTTTTTGTCGAGGTTTTTGACTTAGTTGCTTGAAATAATTTTTTGACGTGGTTTTAGTTTTGGGTGCTTCCAAACGACTATCTTGAAATGAAGAATCATATTCTATCTGTTGACTTGTTTTTGTTTTATGTCAATGTTTAATCTTCCTCATTTATTTATTTAAAATTTCTAGGCTTTTTAATTTGTTACCTTGCACTTTTTTTCATTTCAGGTTGTTAGTGATGACGATATTCACAACATTGTCTTATCATATCTTGTGCATAATTGCTTTAAGGGAACTGTTGATTCATTCATTTCTTCTGCTGGGTTGAAGCAACCGGAAAATTTTCTTGAGGACATGGAGAAAAGGAAAAGTGGGTATATTCCTCTTTTAAACTAAGATTTATAACATCTATTTGCTCAAATATTTTGTCATTGAATGTGTTCTTCATTGTCCATGTAGTTTTACAATCATAG